TATTTGTCTATTTGTTTTCCTGAGAAACTATTTTGTAGACAATAATATGTAAAATGATAACCATTGATAATTTCCTACCATTTTGTCTGTAATTTGCTAAGTCCCCCCTATTATTATGTTATCCTTGTTTTATTCTTTAAAATAAAATAAAAAAAATAAAATTTCTTTAGATCATGACCATGTCCATTATTTAGGGTGCTATTGTGCTACCACAACAGAGTTAAATTTTGCTGATCTCTGATCTCTGGAATTTTCTACGCAGGCTGAATTAATGGTAATAAAAGCAAGGCCCCTTGATTGTAACCTCTTTCATAATCACAGTGAAAGAAAGGGAGCTGTTACCTAATGGATTGGTAGTTTTTAAAGAGAAAGAATGTCAAATGGACACCTTCCTCCCTAGGAAAAATAATTTGTTTATTATACCTAATTTGTTTATTATACCTATTTTTTTTTTTCCTATTGGGTAGACCTAGTAGAATGATAAGGATATAGTAATGGAACCCTTAATTACATGAAATATAAAAATAATAGTCTGAATAATTTCCATTGATGAATTATAATTTTCCTCTTAGATGATGAAACATGCCTGGGATAATTATAGAACGTATGGATGGGGGCATAATGAACTCAGACCTATTGCAAGGAAAGGACACTCCACTAACATATTTGGTAAGTTCACTTTCTCTAATTACTACTTTCTGTCTCCATGTCTTAAAACATAATCTGACTTTTTAAAGTACTTTCTAAAATCAGAGTATTTCTGTGGGGATATAATTTGAACATTTATTTATTTTTGCAATTACATCAGTATTTGTTTCTAGGTGCTTTAGAATACAGTTATTTGGTAGATATTTATTGGTATGTAACCAATGTATGTTGAAGCTTTTTCTGATTTTTCTCTTTCAGTGTCAGTAAAGGTAGGTACTTGTAGTTTCCTTTTTGTCCTTCAGCAAGGATACTATTTCTGTTACTTAGTTGGAAGAGAAAGAGGGAGCAGATAGGGAATTCTGTCAATACTATATGCATTTAAAAAAAATAGAAGGTAGTACACATAAGGTGATTTGGTGAATAGGGTGGATTATGTGAACTGAGTGGGTTTGGTGATTCAGTAAATCTAGTGGTTTATGTTGTACATTCATAGTTCCTTAGGAAAGATTAATAGTGTGGAACATAGTATAACTATTCCAGTCACTGGAAGTTTGAGGAAGACCTATATTCAATATCTTGAGTTTGTTCACCTTCTTCTGAGGTCAGTCTTTTATTTTTGGTCTGATAACTAAATTAAGAAGTTTTGCTAAACCCACGATTAAGTTTCAAGAATTGTCAAGCTGGTGTTCTTTTTGGTCTTCTCTCCTTTCTTCCACTTTAAATGCTTCTTCATGTGATAGATATTTTTTAAATAATGACAGGTAAAGGCAGGAAGATTTTAATAGTGTAAGAAGGAACATATGTCACATGTACTAGTCAAATGCAGTGCAGTTTTCTTTATTAATTTGAATATACTATCACAGTAATTCAAATAACAGTATTTTTTCTTGTGAGACTATGGAAGAATTTTTCTGATGCTATGATTTCCCCTTATAATTTGTTGTTTCTTTCTTTCTTTTTTTTTTTTTTTTGGTACCGGGAATCGAACTCATGACCTCACACTTGCCAGGCAGGCCCTGTGCCACTGAGCTAAATCCCCAGCCCCTGTTGTTTCTTATTTCCTGTCAAAAAAGAAAATACCTTAAATTCTTTTTCTCTTGGATTTGAAAGATGATGTGGCAGAAGAGAGGAAAAATTTCCTGTATGTGGTAATTAGTGATTACCAGAGGATATTTAGTTGAGCAGTTATTATTTAAATGCAATAAAATACACTTGCTCTGCAAGGTTGCATATTGAAAAGTTCCCATTGCTTTGTGGATATCACAAAATGAATCATCAGTGAACCAAAAGACATTGTATTTAATGGTTAATTAATATTAGGGCCTACTTTTAAAAAATTAATCTTACTGTTATATTGTAGATATACATAATGATCTTACTCATTATAGGGAATTTGTACTTGTTCATAATATGTCTTGAATCTTTTTTCCCCCCAACCCCCTCCCCTCCCTTCAACCCCTCTTTTTTCCTTATTTACAAAAGCTTTGTTTGCATTTTAGGTACTACTGTTTATATTTATAATATCTTTTTATATTAGGCTTCATGGTATTATATTAGCCTATTTTAAAAGGTTGTACTTTAAACATATTGAAAAGAAGTGAATGTTAATTTTCTGCTTTTTCCATATTGTATTTCTCAGAACATCTAATGTGTTATCATATATCAAATACTTATTAGTCACACTTTTGTAAATTTTAAAAATGAACTTGTTAAGTTTAGCTCATGAAAAACACCTATTGTAAGAGGAAAATTATAATGAAATGTAGAAAACACAATGTTTGGAATCTTTAGTAATCAAAATTAGGTGTTTATACTTCCTATTCATTTTTTTTAGTCATTACAATTTTTTCTCAGTTAAATAAACTAAAAAAGGAATAGATCCTTTATTATATGTTTTGTCTGTTGTTTGTAGACATGTGGTATATTATAAGATTAATTTTTAAAGTTTCTTTTTTCCTATTCTGTTCCTTTTGCACATCTCATGTGCTTAGTGATTATAATTTCAGAATTTTTGAACATGTTTTTACATTTTCTTTTTTCTTTCAATAAGATATTTTTAAGAGAAAAGTGGTAGCTCTCAGTATCTCGTTTGACATCCAAATTCAATATGCTTTTATAGAACTACATTCTTAGAAGGGACCTTTAAAAGTACATCTGCATGACTGTAGGAACGTACAGATGGGTATTGAACTTTTACTCAGCAGTATTTCAGGTTAACTTAAAGTACACGTGTTTTTCTTTCTGAGAGCTTTGATGATTAAGTAATTCTTTTATATGGTATCTGAAATCAGTCTTACTCTGACTTTTATCTGGTTTGTCCTTGGCATCAGTGGACTCTTTATGTGCAGGTAACAGAAAATCTTTTTTAAAATGGCTTAAACTCAAAAGGTAATTCAGTCAGCTCAGTGAAGTCTTGGTGTAGATCAGATTTCCAGCTAAACTTTTCTTTATCTCTTTCCTCTATGTGTTGATATCTTCAAGCTGACTTTGTAGGAGCATGGCTCCAGCTGTTTGAAGTTTTGTATCTTAATACTGCTGCATTTGTAGAGAAGAGAACTCTGTAGAAAGAAGCACTTGGGTTTCTTAGCAAGCATCTTCTTAAAAGACTCATTGTTTCTTTTTTTTTTTTTTTTTTTTTTTTGGTTTTTCTCCGGTACCAGGAACCGAACTCACGACCTTGCACTTGCCAGGCAGGCGCTTTT